AGTATATTCTCAAACATTCTGAATCTCAAGAGACAATAAAAATAAAAATTAACAGTACCTGTTAAATAATAAAATTAAGCCAAGTAAAAGTCGATGATTATTAATGTAGTTAGAACAAACAAAATAAATGGCAAAATGATGGAATGTATTTTAAGGGAATACCAGGAATAGAGAATAATACAATTTAAATAGAGAAATAAAGTTGTTACAAGATTAATTTCTTACATGCGATAGGCATGTAATAAATTATAATTATTCTTAACATATAACATGAAAAACATACATTTTTAATTTTAGTCTAAGATACACAAATAATTTATTCCTAAGCATTTTATTGAGTGTTTTCCATCTATTGACCTTGGTGTTACTTTTTGGACTAGAAACATTAACTGACTTATTAGTTTCAAGATAAATGTAATAAATGTCTAATAAACCATTCAATGATGACAGCAGTCTTATGTTACTTCAATTCCTCGTTACTAAATTTTTTCTTAAATTCAAGCGTGAAGCAACATCAAGACACACTTTTTTTTTATGTTATTGACTGTTTTTGATGCTTGTCTAGTGTCAGCTATCAAAGAAATCCCACCTATCAAAAGGTGTATTACGGAAGTAGCCTCCCATTCTCAGCAGCAGGGTCTGTAATGTAATGGTAACTGCAAAGTGTCATCCACATATTTATCTTTTTTAGACAGCATATCATGAAAAATAGTGGAGGGGGTCTAAGCTGCCTTATAAACTAAAACAATTACCCAATTGAAAAATTATTCACCAATCTGTATGAATAATATCACTTGCTTATAACCTCAAAAGAAAAGAAAATCCTGACTGAAGTAAAAATAAAAGTTATATAGTTTCTGTGATATGAAACAATATACTACATTGTCCCATGCATTTGAGAGAAAAGGAAAAGAATTATTAAGCACAACTCCTTACATAATATGAAAAAATGTGTTGTTATGGCTTTACTTTTTTTCTTTTCCAGACATTAAAAGAAAAAGTGAACCAAATTAGTGTAATTTAGATATTATTTTCAGAGAATTCAAATTACATTTGCTTGTTTTAGGAAAAGAAGAATCAACGCAGAAAGATCACGTGGAGCAGATGCTAAGAGCTTAGGTTCTGAAGATGCAAAGTCACAGTGCAAATCCTCAGTGTACCACCCCTCATTTGTGTAATAGAGGCCAAGTCACTTCTCTGTGCCCAGGTTCCTTATCTGCACATGGGTAGTAGCCATTCAAAGTGTTTTTATATTCGGCAAAATGGTGTCTGTTATTTGCTTTGTACTAACTCTGCTTTTATTTTGAGTCATACTTCATTATTATCCAATGAATAATCAAAATCTCACAAATTTGGGTTGACTTCCTGCTCTGGTGAGTTAATCCAATTGATCAACTGTAATTTTTCCTGAGTAGTCATTTGTATTTGCCATGGAGCCCTTCAGTAGATTGTCTTTTGTTCTGTCACTCTTATAGAACTGTTGCTTGAGATGGAATAATTATTTTTACTGTAAATTGAGATCCAGTTTATTGAGAAATACTGTACACCATTTATTTAGTGAAGAGATCAACCACATTTTCCTAAAGTCTCAATTTTATTAGCAATTATCAATTATAGTAACAAAATGATGTCACTGTCTGTTGGGAGCCGCGTCTGTGATAGCTCGCCTTGCGCGGCGGACGTGCGGCCTGTGGTAAAGAGCAAAGCCTGAGGTAGATTACCCCTCCCATCGAATATGTTAGTTTCCTGCTTACCGCGTAAACAACCCGCTCAACAATATAGTCTGCCTGGCAACTGATGATGTTAGCCAATCAGCTTGCCTTGCTTACTTTAACATGATTGGACACTGTACCCGTATATATACCGGTGCCACCCCTGGGTGGAAGAAGAAGCCAGGTAGAAGCCCAGAAGTAAAAGCCCAAAAGGAGCCGCGGAGAGCGGACCGGTAGAGGCTTTGGGGCAGACTGAAGCACAAAAGGAGCCGCGGGGAGCGGACCAGAGGAGGCTTCAGCTGGGAGAACCCAGGGCAGGCTGTACGGAGAAGGAAAATAAAAAGAAAAGGTTGTCCACTACCAGACTTTGTCGTGTGTCCTTCCTGCCGGCCGGGAGCGGACATCGACAACTGTCATTTTTATTTTTAAAATTTTTGTCTCTTTAATGCTTATCCACTTTCTTCAGATCTTTTTGGAAACCTCGAATTTTTAATTTAGTTGTAAAGATTAAATTTGTTATTTTTGTTTCAGTGGCCTGATTTCAAAGCCATGCCCTAAAGGATATATTTTAGGAAGCAATTATCACGTAAAAAGCTTTTCTAAGTTAATAACTGAAGAAAAATAGTTTTGAAAGAGAAAGAAAGATTTACTGAACATCTTAATTTTTCAGGCATCTTATTAGGTTTAACCAAATAAGAAAAATATAATTGCCCTGTTTGGGAATCAAAGACTCCTGCTAAAAAATAAATATACAGGAAGTAGCATTTCCAGAGTCTGGGTACATGCTACACTGATATGTTCCTTCACAGATATAGCAAACTACACTGATGTGTTCCTTCACAGATATAAAATACAGAACTTCATTTTAACCTCAGATTTCACATACATGTGAAATGAGATATGTATAAATCTTACCTTCCAAAAGAAGCAATTCAATTTAGCTTCATAAAATTACTTCTCAAATTCATCCAAGAGAAAAATAGTCAGTGAGTGAGGAGTGGCTTTTACCTTCCATATTGATCTTGTTTTATTTGAAGTATTAAACCATATTTAAGCTAAGAATGAATTCCTATTAACATTCAATGATTGGAATACAAAGGAGCTTTGCTATAGGATTTATTGGAAGCCTTGTCACTTAATAATTTAACTGCCAAATGAAAATGATAAATGTGACCACTAACAGTACTTCAGTGTGTCTTCCTTTCCTTAAAGCCTGCCAGCCCAAACTATGAGAACCCTGAAACTTCCAGGTGATACCAGGTTACAAATATGCTTCTGAGAGGTGCTCGCCACCAAATATCCTTTATGAATATCATGGATCTGGCCACTTGAATCTGAAATGGTTCCCACACTGGCCATCCTCATGTGAAACTGCCCCTACCCACTCCCAATCCATACTATATGATTTCACAGAAAAAAAAAATAAATAACCCACAATTGTAAAGTTAAGAACATCAACAATTTTAAAATGACCATAAAACTTTAAAGCCCTTAGTAGGGTATTTTGAATTCTATAACTTATCTAGCTTCACTGCTTATAGTTCAAGAAAGTTACCCTAAATTAGAATAATTTGTAGAATATAAAAGCTAGTTTTTTGGCAGAATTATGCTTTTCACACTTTCACTGATTTTTGCTTATAAAGTTAAAGAAGTCTACATATTTCTTTAGGAGATGTTTGTGTGAGAACTTAAGCACAGATTATATAAAAAGGTCCACAAACTTCCTGAAGTTAGTTGTTGAAATTGGGACATTCAGGGATATAAATGGCTAGAGAAGTTAATTTAAGAAAATGATATCCCAAGTCAAATAAGAACATTATGAAAATACCAAGGAAGAGGAGTAAAAATACACTTTCAAAAAAATAATGCTACATTAAACTCTTATTGTATGCCATGATCAAAAGTCAATTGAAAACACCTAAAAGACTTAAACATACGACCTAAGTCTATAAAATTCAGAAGAGGGGGAAGCTTCTAGACTTTGATCTTGAGCAGTGATTTCTTGCATATGCCTCTATTGGTTACTACAAACTGATTCGTGCAAAGTCACAGTTATGTAAGTTGAATTAGTTCTAGAAATTTATTGCACTGCATTGTGCCAGTAGTTAAAAAATATTCTATAAGTGTTAGACACTTAAATTTTATTAAGAAGATGGGCTTAAATTTAAGTGTACTTATCACAAAACAAAACAAAAACAAAAACAAGACAAGAAAATTTTTGGAGCTAAGGAATGTGTCTACTCCCTACATTATAGTTAAGATTTCAAGTTACACTTATATTGCAAATTCATAAAATAATATGCATCAAATAATGCATTTTAAGACTATCAGTTATAACTTAATAAAGCTATTTTAAAAGAAAGAAACATTCTCTTGGGTTAAAAAGAAATACGAGTTATTAATAGGAAGAATGCACAATAAATTAGGGCTATATTGTAAATGGTTTATATATATTGGCAGAATAGATAAAATCAAAAAGGTATCATTTAAAGTTAGTGATAAGACCTGATTTTGACTAATGTATTTTCCTTTTCTTGACAATAATTGTGTTATCTAAGAAGTTTTTGAGTTAATTCAAATGAAATAAACATTCACAAAATTTATTTTTAGATTTTACATAGAGAACTATAATATTATAAGGAGAAAGGAAGGAATCTCAGTCTACTATCTTCACGATCTTTAAATAAATAAATTTATTTATAAATATTTATTTAAATAGAATATTTATATGTATTATATATGATATATAAAATATTTATCTATTATATTTATGTATATTTAATATATAATAAATACTACCTATGTATAAACAAATTCAAAAGAAATCTAGAGCATAATAGTTTATAGAAGTGTATATTTTCAAAGCCATACAAAGAGTAATTGAAATATATAATATATATAGTTATATTTATATATTATATTATCTAATATATTATGTATATTTTCAAAGTCATACAACAAGTAGTTAAACAACAAAAGAAGAAAACATAAAGAAAATCAGTTTTGAATCAAATAATTTCATACACATAGCTGTAATTTTGCGTGATATAGCTTCATGATGATAGAACTTACTCAAATGGTATGAAAAGTCTGTGATAAAGAGAGCAGAATTACACTCTGCCTCCACCATATGAGCAAATAATGAAAGTCGAATTAGAACTATGAAAATACAAAAATGTGTATATCTAAAAATGCCTCTGTATTTTGCCAAAATGGAAACCATAGAAAACTACCTATGCATGGTTTTAAATTAGGTGATAACACACAGGGACACGGAAATAGACAGTAGCTGTTTTAATTTGTTTCACCAGGTGACTCATGTGTTCCCTTCAAAATTAAAGCTGACAATCAGCTCCATAAAAGGAAGATCTTCAAGTGATACGTTGCTCTTTTCCAGTGTGATATAATGTCTGGTGCATCTTCCTGTTGGTCCTAGAATATAATCAAGCTAAGGTCAAATAAGATTCTGAAGCACCTTCATAGGTGAAAAAAAAATATATCAGATATGGAGACTGGTAGATAATTTTAAAAACATGCATAATTGATTAAACTGATAAACTTTTATTTAAACGTATTTATATAAATGTACCACAATTATGCACTTATATATAGATATCTAAATAGCAATATCAGTATCATTTCCAGATGTGAACCTGCAGGCAACTTCGGATATTAAATTCCATTTTTTCTAATTTTTGTCTGATATTATATTCATTTAAAGCAGAATTTATAATGGTGTTCAGCAAATAAATAAATACATGCATTCATACATAAAATTTTTAAAAAGCCCAAGTTAGAAGTGGAGAGGAATCACGGATGCAGTTAATAGTTAAATTTAAGGACACGTTTTCTAAAATTCAAAACTAATCGAGAGAAAAATGAGATGCTCTGGACAGTTAACATTTTTATTAATTGGCAGTTTAAGGGAAGATATCAAGAAGATTTAGAGAAATATTTTGCAAATGATTCCTATTGAAATTATCTCAAAGATTCTATTCTAGTTATAGCATTAGATTTGCAAATGTGTTGTACTAATCTTTCTTTGAATAGTCAGATATTTTTGTTTAACCAACAAAAAACATTGGTAATGTCCATATAAGTTTTAAGTTCCTTTCAAAGATAAACTGTATTATTTGCTTAAACTTTATTCATTTGTCTTTTGTTGTACACTCTGAAATTATTAGCAGCAGACACTATGAAACTCCAGTGTATAACCATGATAATTATTTCTTTTTGTATTTGGAAAAGTTAGCATATATGGTAATTTTTGAGAGCGGTAAATTTAACTTTTAAATAGATTCAGAACCTAAAGATTTAGTTATTTTTTTTTTCTTAAAGAAGTCAGTCTTATAAGAATACTGAGTCCTTTATTCAGTACTCACCTGAAACTTTTCCACAGTATTTTTATTCATGATTTATTATAAGTTATTTACATTACACATGACAAAATTTTATTTCATCATACAGAAGGCCCGAAATTAAGCCTAGGATGGAAACTTTTTGAATCATTTAAACAAGAGAAACTATCATAAATTGTAGAAGGTAAAAATCAAGTTTCAGTGGCTTGAATTGATAGCCATCTTTATAAATTATTATATCTTTTCAGAGAACATATTCAAAAATGTTAAAAATGCTACCCTTTTCCAATTTGGTATCATTATTTATAAGATACTATTTGACAATGGAAAACTTAAAGGAGCATGATACAAAACACACACACACACACAGACACAGACAAACACACACACACACACACACACACACACACACACACACACCCCAAAAGAATCCTAAGTGACTGAAAGCATCAGGAACTACTTAAGTATCATCAGTCTTTGGAACAATTACGCTTCTCTTTCTCTACTTTTAAAGCAAATAATTTGGGTTTTAACAAATTTTCTTCCACAGTTGGACAACAAACATATCTTGCAAAAGAATTTTAATAATTGCTTTCCTATTTTCTCTGGACTCTCAACTTTTAAAGAGGGCCATCTATATAAAAATGATGCAAGTAGTGACAAAACTTCAATATGTGTTTGGGATGTTATGAAGTTTGAATTAGCATCTCTTTAGGTAAACATTTCTAGGTATCTCAGAAAAAAAATATACAGATTTTTACAGCAAAAATCCACAGACCCGTGGATCTGGACTTTTGACATGTCTTGAGAAATAGAATCCTGCTTATAAGACCACTAATGGTACTGTATTCTATTTAGGCATCTTCCATCAACCCAGTTTTCAAAACCAGTTGGCTTTTCTAGGTCTCTAGTTTTCTCACTTGCAATTTCTTCAGGTCTCATGTAACACTACAAAATGACTATGTAGTCTTCCACAAAAATACTTATCTTTCCTTAACCTGAAGTACGTGATTCAAATATGGAATTTTTGTCATCAAATCTTTGTAACAACATTAGAGATGCAACATGTTTTGATGAAATATCATTATTTCATGTTCTTTAGTACTTGATCCTAAAATAAATATTGTTCTAATGATGCAAAATAGTGAGTAGAAAAATTTAGTTAGTGAATAGTGAAAAGCATGGGTCTAGTTTTAATTTTCAGCATGTGGAAAACCAGCTTTTCCAGCATGATTTCTTAAGGATGTTATGTTTTACATTTTTTTTTTTTTATGTTAAAGAGATTAAGACATCTTTCCTCCAGTGACAGTCTTTGTCACCTTGGTTAAAGATAACGTGGCTAAATATGTCTGGAGTTATTTCGGCATCTTCCATTATGCCCCTTTAAACATCAGTTTTCTTTTGCCAGGGCCATGCTGGTTTTTTTCACAGTAGCTTTGTAATGTAATTTCAAATCAGGGATTGTGATGACCTCTGCTTTGCCTTTGTTTCCTAGAAATGCCTTTGCTATTCTGTATCTCTCTTTGGTTTTCAAGTGAATTTTAGGGTTGTTTTTATCTAATTTTATGAGATATGCTGCTGGAATTTTTATTGTGAGTCCAGTAAGTCTGTATAATAATTTTGCAAATATTGCTATTTTCACTATATTTGTTCATCCTACCCAAGAGCAAAGAATATGTTTCCATTTTCTGATATCCTCTTCAAACTTCTTTGCACAGTACTGTAGTTTTCAGCATAGAGGTCTTTTATTTTCTTTGTTAGATTGATTCCTATGAAAAAATATTCAACATCATTAATCATAAGAGAAATGCAAATTAAAACAACAGTAAGATTCCATTTCACCCCAGAAAAATGATTAATATCAAGAAATCAATCAATGACAAATGTTGGAGGGGTTGCAGGGGAAAAGGAATCCTCCATTTTGGCAGGAGAGCAGACTGATGAAACCATTGTGGAAATCAGTTTAAAATTCTTCAAAACCTAGAATTAAAATTCCTACTCAACCCACGTATTTCCCTTCTTGTTATCTTTCCAAAAGAATTAAAAGCAGCATACTACAGAGATATTATGCATACTCAGGTTTAAAGCAGCACAAGTAATAATAGCTAAGTATTGGAAACAGCCCAAAAGCCCATTAACCAATGACCAGACAAAGATGTGATATTTTTACACAATGGAGTACTAATCTATCACAAATAAGAAACTTGAGACAATTCTGGCTAAAAGGATTCACCCTGAGACTATATTCTAAAATGAAATGAATTGGACATATGTGTGCAAATACCACACGGTCTTTCTGCTGTGAGAAGGAAAGTGTAAATAAGGACCAAAATGTATAATAGATATTGTGAATTAGAAAGAAAATATTCAGAAAGGATGTGGAAGTGTGCTGGTGGGGGGAGAGGATGAGAAAATAGGGAAAAATGGAAACAAAGCTTTTGTAAATAAGGAGAGGAAGAGAATTGGAAAATTGGATAGTAGAAAGGGTAAAATCAATTCATATCATGTACAGGTACAAAGTCATGATGATCAATGTGATCATTAGTTTTACTTAAAATGTACCAAGCATTTTAATTTAAAGAAAAGTTTACAACCTCTCCAATTAGGTACAATTGAGTGCAAACTTGTGTGTTTAGTATTTATACTTTTAATCCTTAGACACTGGTGTACCAAGTAAATCCTAACATAGGAGAAATAAGGGAATACATCAGAATAGTTCGTTAGTAGATTCTATTATTTCTATCTTTTCATCTTATAATATATGTAACAAACTTGCCCTGGTTCCTGTATTATTTCTGGTTCCATAAGAACTGACTAATTTTGATAGTCTGGGAAAGGATATTCACAAATTTCCAGTATTCATGGAAACCAGCTACTTATCTATCTCACAGCTTAATTCCTTAGCTATAAGGATGCATATTCACAGAGATATATCATTGTTTTACACATGTGTTATAACAAGAATAGTAGTGTTCCTGTTTTTGAAGTTTGCTTTTTGTTTCCTAAAACATTGCTAGATGTTCGGTAATTCATTGGTTCTGGAAGGAGGAATTAATATTTATTTTCTTTAGATTGCTTTAGCAATTTTTAAAAACTTAATATTTTTTGTTGTTATCATTTCATTTTCCTGTAGAAAACTATTTGCTTTTGACTGTAAAAACCAGAATGAATGATCTTGGATACATTTTCTTTATAAAAGAATGCAGCACAAAATATATATAGGCAAGAGTTTCACATATTTATTTGATTTCCATCAGATAATGAATTCAGTTGTTATTCATGCACGTTATTCTACCAACCAAATGCTACTAGTTTATTCTTTCTGTTAGTGTTGTAAAAAACCGGTTCCCAAATTATTTAATAAAAAGAATTTCAATTAAGACATTATGACTCATAAATAACAGTTCATTTACATGGCACTAAAAGCAAAACAAACAATGATAGAAAACACAGGCTTTGAATAGGACACATTTTTTAAAAAAACTATTACCTCTGTTTAAATTTAGAAAAAAAAGTAAATGAAACATTATTATATTAACACATTAAACTGAATACTCATGATTTATTGAGCACTGATTATACAAATTATAATTTTTTTTGTCTTTTTCCTTTTTTTATCGGTACCAAGGATCAAACTCATGACTGTCTGCTTTCCAGGCAGGCGCTTATGCCACAGAGCTAAATCTCCAGTCCCTACAAATTATAATTAAAACACAATATATTTATAACAGTGGCTGGTTCTAAGAAAATAATATATAATCCATGTTAATGTCATTGTCATTTTGTTTTTATTGTTATGGATATTATTTATTTCTGGTTTCAAATAACTATTTATTCATTAAATAATTTAAGTTTTTGTATAATATCTTCCAGAAAAATAAATTTGAAAGACTTCAAATTAAAGATGTAAAAATTATATATAATTTTTAGATTTAAATTAACAATGATAAAAATATAAGTTAGTGAAATGAAAATAATATTTTTCTGCTATTCATTTCTCTGCCCTCTTTTAATAAATACAACAGTAATCCTAACATACACTATTTTATTATTGATCATTGAAAGGATAGGACAAACTATAGTACCCAATGAGGTACACATACAAAATCCAACATGTTCTATTTATCCCAGGGCACCAAATTATATCAATTAGAAATTTAGACTTAAGAGATTCAAGTCAGTCTATGATGGGTATGTGAATAGGGAAAGCATTTAAAGTCAGAAGTGGGGATCCTAAGATATTTCTCCATTAATTTATGAAGAATAGATCAGCCACTTATCCAAATAGTGACCAAAAATACATACTCATTGAAATACAGAGATAAACATTTGTATAGCTGCATATTAATACAAGACCTGAGTTCCTTCTATTTAATTTCCTGGTTTCAGTCTCAGGATCAGCTATATTTCTTTCCTAGGATTCTAAGAGAGATCTCTTATGCCTTTCATTTGTTTCCCTAAGTTAATTTGAATGTGCTTATATATTTGGCAATATGTTCAAGCAAAGAGTTAATAATGAGAGAAATACATTAATCGAGCAAAAAGTTTAGCTTCATTATAATATAAAATTTACACTTGAAAAAATTTATTGATATCTGGCCATGGTAGACTACTCAAAATTTAGGAGGCCAACACCTGAGAATTTCTGGGTATTTAAAGCAATAGTGGGCTACCTACAGTGTGAGACTTTTCAAGAGACTCTGATTAAGGATGGAAGAATAATTAATGTGATTGAGGAAATTTCAAGGCAGCCCAAAGTTTAGGCTGTGACATGGTTGTAACTGGGGACTTTAAACTAGCTACACAGTGAAAAACAAGAGCAAATTAAAAAGTTAGGTGATTTTTAAAGCTTTTACTTTCACCAGAAAAGGAGGTTTTGTAAGTTTGGGCCTGTAGATTTGGAGCAGCTGAATGCAGGATTGCTTAAAAGCTTAACATTAAAAAGAAGCCAAGTCCCTTGTTTTATAAAAGACAATAGAACAATATTTTGAGGACATAAGAAGAAAAAAAGGCCCCAAAACTGGAAATGAGATAATTGGAAAAAGAACCACAAGGCATCATAATCCAGAACTTCCTTCTAGGAAATTCTCTCTCTCTCTCTTTGTTTTTTTTTTTTTTTTTTTTTTTTTTTGCCTTTTTCCTTTTTATCTGTACCAGGAATTGAACTCACGATTGCCTGCTTATAAGGCAGGCACTTATGCAGCTGAGCTAAATTGCCAGCCCTAATTCTTCTAGGAAATTCTTACCAGGGACAGGGTTCATAATGTTCAACCATAATGCATGACCTCAGAGACTTCCAGAGTTACAATAAAAGGGGCCCTGAGTTGGCAGCAAAACCTGGCATCATCAACATATCATTGCTTTTTTGCTTTTAGAGTCATGCAGAAAATGAGAGCTGTGATGTACAAGAGGCCTCCACCAGGATTTCAGAAGAAGACCGGGAGGTCAGACAGTGCACCCCTGAGAGGGCAGACGTGGAGCAGTGAGAGCTAACCCAAAGGTGCAGTGGAGACCCCAGAACGTGGAGAAGCTAGGGAAGTAAAATGTCCACAGTAAGCTGCAAGGACCTAGCAAAGTCAGCCCGAGGAAGAAGCTGTAAGAGCTGCAGCACTGGAAATTCCATAGGGGTAGCGCCACTAAGCCCTTTAGGGTTCTAACTGCCAGGACTTACTCTAGGTGCAGGCAAAGAACTACAAGATTTACGTTTGCTCTGCAGGGTTTCGGTCTTGCTTTGCTCTCATTGATTTGTATCTTTCTATTCCTCCCTTTTGGACGAGAATATCCTATATCTTTGCTTTGCAGCAGTGCTGAATATTCTTTTAAATTTTTACAGCTAGTAGTTTTCTCAAGTTTCAGAAGGGACCATGGACTTTTCAAAACTGCTGAAATTGTTAGCAGTGAGGCAAGTCATAGAGATGGAGCAAAAGTTACTTGCATAAAGTGATGTGCAGTGTCTTTGGGATCTAGCAGGGGGATGTTATGGTTTATATGCAGGTGTTCCTCAAAAGTCTCCTGGTCTCACAGGAGGGGCTTTTGGAAGGTTTTTTGATTATAGAAGCTTATAGCTGACTTGCACTTGGGAAGGAAGGCATGGCTGGAGGACCTGGTCAATGGGAGTGGGGCTGACCTTGAAAGTTGTATTTCTGTGCCCAGCTCTTACCTTACTAGATACTTCCTGGCCCCCATGAAGTGAATTATTTCCTCCACCCACTACTTTCAACATGATCTTTCTGTGTGGAGTCAACAAAATATGCATGGACTGAAAGATGAACCAAAGTAAACTTCTCTAAACTATAGGTGTCAGGTATTTTGTCCAAGTGATAATGAAAGGGACTAAGACATTTTATTGTGGGAAATTTATATGTATTTCTTATAATACAATACTCTGATAACTAATGTTGTCTCTAATGCCTTCAAATGCATAACTTGCACTTGAGGAAAGAAATAAAACTAGGCAAAAATCATTTATTTGAAAATGAGAAAAATATGATTAAAATGTTTTTTGTTTTGTTTTGTTTTGGCACCGGGAATTGAACTCACAACCTCACTCTTGCCAGGTAGCTGCTTACGCTGCTGAGCTAAATGCCCAGCCCTAAAATGTGTATCTTAAAAATCAAATATTTAAAATAAAAAATGTAGTTCTCTATATCTGTAGCAAAATAGGACAATTTTTTAGTCTTCCCAATACAAACTTAACACGTAATGATTTCAGTATATTTTGAGAGAAGTTGTATTGCATTATCATTTGAATGCATAAAGGTAAATTCAAGTAGCACGTAAATACAGTGATAGACAACATGCTGATACTTAAAATTTAACATATGTCAGATCTTTGGTGTCAGTCTTCAAAGATACTAGAAAAACAGCAAGGTATCTGGTGATCTGAAACTTATTTTTGTCAGAAATTACCTGCTTAATGCTCATTTTATAATTCCCAGGGGTTGACACAGGCATTATGAGAGAGTCAAATAAAATTTGCTCATCATTTTACATAGTAAAATATATAAAATATATATGTAATATCCTCTTATGATTTTATTGTTATTAATATGATGTTGTATAGCGTCTCATTGATAAATTCAACAATGTGAAAATAATTTGCCTGTTATTAACACCTCCAGAAATTATTCATGAAGCAGAGTTTCCTAGTGGTGTTATACAATATATATTTTCTCACCATTTTGGGGATCATATGAAACTAGTTACATCAGTTGTTTTTGTTATTCTGACAAATCCTTAGAAAACATGATAATGTAAATTTATTAATGGAAAAGGTAGGAATATCAAAAAATTGAAAGTGTTCTTCAAGTCATCCAGTTAATTAGAGCTTATTTTTTAATATCTTGGCTACATAACTAAATGGTTTTACCCTTGTTTTTATAAATATACTTTTTCTAATGTTTTTTATAATTAGTGTTACTTCATGGTCTTTTTCTTTTCATGCCTATCTATCATGATATATTTCCTCACTACAGAACTAAAAGCAGTGAAGTCACCACTGCCTGAAATCTCTGAAGGCATAACCCATAGTTAACCCTCCTCTATGATGCTTTTCTGACTTTTTTGTCACATTAAAGGAAATTGACACACCTGGAATTCTTCCATCCTGTTTTGACTTTAATATATTTTGTATTCTCTTCATCTCTCTTACATGACTTCTAATGCATATATACAATTTCTCTACTTGTACAACACAGCAGAGCTTCCCTAATATAACTCATCAAACCATGAAGCAGAAGGCCATATTCACTGACAAGACTAACTTATCAGAAGTTGTAGGAGAATTTCCTTTCTGAGTAATGGAGGTAAGCAACCATCCATTGAATTGTCATCCTGCTTTAGCAAAATTGGAGAAGCTTTACCTATATAATATCACTTTATGTAATCTTAACGACTATAGCTACTTGTATGTAAGTAAATAGAAGTATGTGGAAAATGACCTGGAAGTGTAGTATGGTTTATATCTGAAGTGACCCTCCAGGGTTGTGTGTTCGGAGGCAGGACTTATGCCGGTGATTGGATCATGGAGATGTTAGATTCGTCACTGGATTAACTTATCCACTAGTTCAAACCAAGTGTGCTGTTAGAAGGTGGGCCCTGGTCAGAATAGTCAGGTGCCTGCGGACAGAACTAGAAAGAACGCGTTCTTTTTCTTTGTCGCACCTCCTTTCTATCTCCGCTTCCCAATGTCCATGAGGTCAGTGAAATCCTGAGGAATGCTCTTTTCTATTGTGCTTTCACCTTGGACTATGGATTGAAACTCCTGGAAATTGTGAGCCAAATAAACCTTTTTAAAAAATTTTTATTGGTCACTTAACTTAGACCCAGGTGTTAAAGAATATTTTCCCCAAAACCTGTAGTGTTTCAAAACCATAGTCTACATATCAGTGACCTGAAACTTAAATTCAGATTCAGACTGTGGTATTACACAATACATATGTGCTCAATCACTTAACCTCTCCAAGACTCAGTTAAATGATGACAGCATATTGAATCGCGGTGGGGATTAAGTGACAGTATTACAACTGAGAGCCAAGAGTGGCAAATAATACCAGTTGTTTTCCTGTTGATGTTATTTTAACATAAAATTTTTGTAAGCACTCAAAAGATTGCTTGTATATGCTTATAGTACTAAAATAATGTTGAATTTTGCCCCTGCTTTAAAAAGTGTCCCTACTTTAAAGAAATTTTGTATTTGATTCTTCATTTTGCATTTAAATGTTGTTTCTTGTTCCTTTTCAGTGATAGCTTTCTCTTTAGTCATACTCAGTTCTTTCAGAAATTTTAATAAGTATATATGTTTCATGTATAATTTTAACAGTATTTTAAATTGGCAACTTTTCTTTATATATTTGTTGTTTCTGATAACGGACTGGAACTCTAAACTGGAGTTTGTTTCTTTGATTTTGGTACCAAGAATCAAATATACAACCTCATGTTTACCAGACAAGTACTTAAACACTGAACTAGCTCAGCGGCACAGTGCCTGCCTGGCATGTGCCAGGCCCTGAATTCGATTGCTGGTACCAAAAAAGAAAATAGTTAAAAATAAACATCAAAAAATGTGCCCCCTTTTAAGAAAGCCCTATAGTATATCGCTCAATAAACATGATAACATGAGCTTTCAAACCAGCTTATTATTGTTACTCATGTAAAAGGAAGTGGGGTTGTGTATGAGCCTTTCTAATGACTTAGTATTAAGATATGTAGAAAGAACATTTATATATTTCATTACCAACTGTAGTATTTTGGTAATTAATAGTGTGTATAGAATAACAATAAACAATATCAGATTCAGGAATATAAAAAATATAGAATAGTTATGTGCTAACTTTTATTTTTTTCTTTGTGTAATATAAAGTCATCTAACAAGACAAAGTTTAACTAGTGCTTAGATGAGTGGAGAGAAATAATGTATTTCCTTTATTTTAGGAAATGTAAGTATATTAATAAAAAATGACTGAAAACAGAAATCAGTTGCCTTTTATTAGTAATGGATAAATTCTACAGATTTGGAAATATATTATAGATTAATTATTATATACACACCTACTATTCATTAATATAAACAACAATATTTACAGGCAAGATATTACAAATATTTTCCACTCCAAATAGTTGCATAAATGAATTGGAATCATAACACAAATTCTGTTGTGTTTCCATGAAAATAGATGCACTATATTAAATTTTTTTTTATAGTATGTGGTCAATAAAATCACCTTCCAAATCAACAAAACAGAATTATTAAGGGGATTTGACTCTTTTAAGATTTAATTCATGGTTTAAAAATAGTGAAAGAGACTGGACATGGTGGCACTTGCTGTTCCAGCACAGAGGTGGAAGGATTGCTGCAAGTTCTAGGTCAACTTGGGGAAAAAAGTGAGTTCAAGGCCAGCCTGAACTACATAGTGAAATTGTGTCTCAAAAAGACAAAAAAAAAAAAAAAAAGAAAGAATGTTTTAGTGAGATCTTCATGAACAACGATCAAACAAGACACAATTGATAAACTAGCATATATCACTTTCTCATTACATATTATTAAAATTCATCAAAATTTAAATTTGGTGCTTACCATAGACCTTGTAAAATAAAAATCTTGCGAAGTCCCCATTGCCAAGTTTGGCTCTGCTTCCAAAATGAATTTATAGTTTTCCTTTTTTTGTGTATTGTCATTGATATACTCAGGATCTCCACTTTTTTCTTGCTGTAGAATATCATCTTTCCTTACAAAATTCTCTAAATAATAAACCAGTGTTGAGATATAATTAATGCTTCTGATTATGAAATAAACACTGAATCCACATTTCTAATAGCAATACAAACTTGATCTTAGTTCATTCCTCCTAATCATGTCTCTAATTTCAAGTATTTTCTAGTAGCATTTTATACAATAAATACATTATTTTTATAAGAAAATTCAATTTTCATATAGAGAAATCAAAAATTTTAATTTTAGGGCTTATAAATTCAAGGCATTTTGTTCCAACAGTAACCCTACTTTTAAAACAATAGTTATGCAACATTTACACATGCAAGTAATGGAGTCTTCAATGTGGATTAATAACTACAAAATATGCTTAAATAAAGGGTCTCATCAAAAGACATTAGTGAGTAGTGAATTTTTAATGAATATCTGCAGAATGTAAAAAACGTTCAGTAAATTTCTAACACATTCAAACAAACATGTGCACGTGAGTACATATATGTGTGTACAACCTGAAATACTACTTTTTAAAATGTTCTCATTTGCAAATAAAATATAATTCTTAAATTTTACAGCGTACAAATAATGGATAAAATTATAAAGCGATAAATTACCTTATTGATCATCTTAGATATTTTTGCTTTTTTCTTTTTAAAACTTTATTAGTACATGTATGCAGTGCATGATGACTATGTTTACTGTAAGGAGTTGGTATGCTTACAAAACCCATTCTTTTTTTCTCCCCTTGTCTTTACCTCATCTCATTTTGCCAGCATCAAATTCATTTCTATTTTATATTAGACCATATAAAGTTTCTTATCATGCATATGAATTTTTAAAAAAGACTAAAGGGCCAAAAACATATAAAACACATATGAAAATTGTCAAAGTATACTTTTAGCTATGTTGTGTGTGCTAAACAAAATAATTTTTCTCCTCTTTGTCCTGTTCTTTATTATATATTTATGTATTAAATGATAGATTATATGCTCATCAACAGATGAATGGATAAAGAAAATGCACTAATTATATACAATAGAATAATTCTCTGCCATAAAGAATGCATTAGAAATATTTGTAGAAAATGGATGAACATTGAGACCATAATATTAAATAAAGTAAAAACTAAAGTTTAATATCACATGATTTTTATTACATGTCATATCATTTTAGAAGAATGTTTGAAATCCCTCTTTTTGTAAGAGAGATTGTCAGCTGTAGTCAGAATGCTGTGCAACACATTTGAAAACCAGATGCTTTCCCTTTTTAGCTACAACTGCACATTTTGATCCACATCTATTTGTTTCTCTCACATGTCATTCTTTAATTATCAGTACTGTATTGCCTCTATGAGTTCAATTATTTTAGATTTCACATAAAAGCGAGATCATGAAGTATGTGTTGTTATACAGTTGACTTACGTCATTTAACGTGTCCTTAAGGTTCATCTATGTTTTAAATATCTTTTCTGATACTGGGGTATTGCACTTTGTATAAATACTATATTGGTTTCATCCATCCTTTCACTAATGGCCCCTCCTGTTGCTCCCATAAGCTTGTACTGTGAAAATGCTGTAATTAACATGGAAGCACAAATGTCTCCTCAAGGCACTGATGATATCAAAGTATTTAGTTATATACTCCAAGAAAGATTGCTCAGTCATATGGTTAAGGAATCACATACAGACAACAAGTAAAAAAAAAAAAACCCAATAGCCAAGCCATTCTTGGACAAAAAGACCAAAAATGGAGACATTTCATCACCTGAGTCTGAACCGTATTACACATGTACAGTTATGAAAACGTGTTGGTAATGGTAGACAAATATTCATATAAGCCAATAGGACAGAAAAGAGCCCACAAATTAATCGATTCAATCATGGCCAATTCAATACTGATAATGTTTCCAAAAACAAAAACAGGGAAATGATAGACATTCCAATAAAAACTAAATACTCTTTACATGCAGAAGAATGAAATCAGATTCTTTTCTCACACCATATACAAAAATTGAGTTCAAATGCAATGAAGATTTAAACTATTAGAAGATTCTAAAATAAGTAGAGGAAAAACAAAGGGTAAAACTAAACAATATATTTTTCTGTATTCATCATTTTGTTGAAAATCTGTGAAATTTTATTAATGTTTTCAACAATTATTTTTCGACTTTGTTAATTTTTTATCAAATTTTATTAGTTGTATTTTTCATTCTTAATTTTCTTATTCCTGTCCATTTTCTTGTGTTTGTGTTCTCTGCCTTTTCTAGTTCATATTATTTGTGCAAATATTTTGTAATTTTAGATGATAGAAAAAATTTCATCCTGGTCTCCTTTTTAACAGTGCTGCACAGATTTTAATTTTTGTGTCTTCCACTTTCTCCCATTTTCTCTTTTCAGTACTTTTTGACTCTGGATTGCATTGATGTGTTTGGCCTAGTTGCAAATTGTTTTGAATTTTCATGTCTCTTTTAGATTTTATATCTAGCAATGCCACTGTTCTAAATCCATAATATAAATTATTTTAAAAGTTTAATTTTTTTTTGTCTTTTTCCTTTTTATCGGTACCAGGAATCAAACTCACGACCGCCTGCTTGCATGGCAGGCACTTATGCCAGTGAGCTAAGTCCCCCATGTTGAAAATGTAATATATCTTACATATTTCCCATTTGATGTAATTTTTCACTTTTAATAAAAATAATTTAATTGTCATATAGTTTTCTGTTTAAAAATGCATATAAGTAGTTAAATTATTCTGTATTTCAATGTTTCTATGTATTTATTTTTGTTCCATTATCTGTTTAGAAAATTAATGAACCCAACTGTTATTATAAATTCTTATAATTATCCTTATACTTCTAATGGTACTAGATTTTATGGTGCAAATAAAAATATTGTAGTATTTTCTTTGTGTTCTGATTTTTTATCTTTATAAAACGTCATTTTAATCTCTAGCAATGCTGTACATTTTTATACATCTACCTTATTTTAGAGTAAAACTTTAGTGCAAACCTTTATTTTTGTAGTCAGTATATAACTTTTGGATTATTTTTTTAAAAACATTTTAATTCCAATTTAAAATGAATTAGTTTTATTTACATATCCGGAATTCTTTCTTATTGGTAATCATTGTTTTACAGCTACATAATTGTCAGCCCATTGATCATGACTGTTATTGATTTATTGAATCACACCTTTATATTTCTTATTTAAAAATAATTGCCTTTTAAGTGATTTTCATTATTTTCTTGCAATTAAATATTTTTATCTAATATGAATATTATTTCATCAGAAGAGCTACATTCTTGGATATTAAGTCTCTTATTGTTTCATTAGCTTCATTTGACTTCACAAATCAATCAAGAGCAGATAAAAATATTCCATAAAAAAATACCTAACCTAAAAATGCACAGATTTTTTTCTTGTTATTATTCCTAAGCGATACAGGCTAGCAACTGTTATACAGTATTTACACTGTATTAGATATAAGTAGTCTATGGGCAATTCAAATAATTAGAGGTATTTATTTTTTTCTTTAAATAAAAATTATCTTATTTAGAAATTTAAAAATCATTTTACTTAAGTTAGTCATTAATAAATTTATTATTAAATAAATTTATTATTAAATAAATTTATTAAATTCATTTAAATAATTTAAATTTTATTTACTTATTTATTTTTATTCTTGAAAATAACAATTAGAGATTATATTATCTCATTCTTTTATATATATTATCTCTATTTATTTATTTATTATCACTAATTTATATATGTGTTTGTTATATTTGAATACTATATCAATTTGTGAAAATAATTTGATTAGCCAATGAATTTGGTATCTGCCTGGGATAGCACTTGAGTCTAATGGCACTTGAAAAGAGTTACACAGAGGGATCCTAATGATTTATACTGATTCAGATGAGCTTCAATGAGGTTATCATGGATATCCAAAAAAGTCTAGTTTCTTCAACAAATAGTAGTGGAAAATTAAGTGCCAAAGAAGGATACACATTTTTTATCCTACAAAATACGCAGAAATCAAATAATGTAATGTGTGATCACACAAACATCTAGAACAACATATAGACCTTAATGATTTTTTCTATGAATTGAATTTTTAAGGTATGCCACCAAATGTTTAAGTAACAAAACCAACAGTAGAAAAGTGATAGTGTCCTAAACTACTAAGCTTCTGCATGAAATAGGAAACAACAAAGTGAAAAGATAATACATGAAAGCATATGTCTGTCGTCAATTTGTTTTTTCACAAGTAACATTTTTTGACTCTCTAACATCTGTCCTGCACTGTCCATGTTACTGAAGAAATATGTTTGGATAACTTCTGGCCCTCTGAGGGGGAAAAAAAAAAGTTCATGAGGAAAAACAGTTTAAAGTAGCTGAAGAATTAGTAGGAGGAGACACATTAATTTCTAGATGTCTATTTTTACAATACAATGTAAACTGTGAGATTGGAGTTAAGTACAATTTTCTTTAGTGACTTGCATTCGAAAATCTTGAACATTATTTGAAACATTCATATATACCTATGTATATAATAAGGAAATGACATTTTAGCACTATGAAAACATAGGATGAAGGAACTGTGTTAAATAAATACGTGGTTACTAACATTTTTTACTGTATTACAATGGTTTATAGTGGTGTTTTTGACATTAAAGAAAATGACAAAATCTAATATTGTATACAATTTCAAAACATCATTGTAATCTTACATTGCCTATTAAAGAATAATACTTTTGTTCTTACATAAAAATTGTTCTATAATAATCTCTCAGGTATTTTTGTATTTCATGACACTCAGTTTTCAATTACTATTCTTTCACTCTGTGATATCGATAGTGTTATAAACACATACACAGAGAAAATAAATTAAATAAAGTTGAATATATCTTGCAAATAATATAATCAATACAGACAATTAGTCATACTGGGGAGTGTTTACAGAATTTTATAGCAGAAAAAAGATAGACATGTATTGGCCTGCATTTTTTTCCATAGAAGGGGTTAGAACTATT